CAAGAGAATCACTTAAGCCCAAGAGTTTGAGGTTGTTGTGAGCTGTGATGCCATGGCACTCTACTGAGGGTAACATAATGATATTCTGTCTCAAAAAAAAAAAAAAAAGAAAGAAAAAAGATTTAACATTTATTATATTATACATATGGTAATTATTTATGATGATATAAATAAGGGAAGACAAATGTATATGTGGATACCTGAAAGAAAATGATGAAAATATGGTTAGGTTTTAAGAAAGCAAGAGAAGATAGGGGACTATCTGTGATTTTTCTCTCAGTGTAATGGGAGAAAAAAGAATATTTGATTATGGCTCAGCACCTGTTGCTCAGTGGTTAGGATGCCAGCCACATACACCAGGGCTGGCAGGTTTCCACCCAGCCAGGCCTGCCAAACAACAATGACAACTACCACCACAACAAAAATAGCCGGGCATTGTGGTGGGCACCTATAGTCCCAGTTACTTGGGAGGCTAAGGGAAGAGAATCACTTAAGCCTAAGAGTTTGAGGTTGCTGTGAGCTGTGATGCCATGGCACTCTACCGAGGGCAACGTAATGAAACTCTGACTCAAAAAAAAAAAAAAAAAAAAGAAAAGAAAAAGAATATTTGATTTTGTACTAAGTATACTTTTGGAACATCCATTGCTGATTCAGTTAATCTAGTGAAGGTAAAGGGGAGGATGATACATCTGAAGCAAAGTATGCTAAAGAAGAAAAAAAGAAAATTAGTTTTTTGTTACTGTTGTCTTGTTTGGGAAGTAGGGGGTTTGAGACAGAGTCTCACTTTGTTGCCCAGGCTAGAGTGCTGTAGCATCATAGCTTACAGCAACCTCAAACTCTTGGGTTCAGGGGATCCTTCTGCCTCAGCCTCCTGAGTAGCTGGGACTACAGGCATCTGCCACAACACCCAACTAGTTTTTCCATTTTTACAAGAGATGGGAGTCTTGCTTTTTTTTGCTGGTTTCAAACTCCTCATCTCAAGGGATCCTGCCACCTTGGCCTCCTGGAGTGTTAGGATTACAGGTGTAAGCCACCATACCTGGCCTAGAAAATTAGTTTTAATGTATTTCATAGTAAGTATTTTAAAAGAAAATACAGTGAATGAAGCCAAGCATAAGTGGATTCATCTTACTTACAGAATATTTCTAGAAACAACATCTAAGATTAGGCTACTTTGGAGTCATTGGTGGAAAACGTAAAGCAGCCTATAAAGCAGGCGGTATGTGTATTTGTTGAATAGTGTTCTTGGGGTAGAGCACTGAAATGCTGAGGGGTAAAAAAGAAGACTAGCTTGCAGAAAAGTAGGGAAAAATGTCTTGCACATCACTGTTTTCTGACCTTAACAAACGGCCCCTTTCCTCTAGTTGTTATTCTACCATGACTACTCAAAATTTCATTGTTCTCTTCTCTTTAGCTAGAATGGGTACTAGGAAAAAAGTTCATGCATTTGTCCGTGTCAAACCCACCGATGACTTTGCTCATGAAATGATCAGATATGGAGATGACAACAAAGTAAGTACAATGTGTTTGCCTTCACCTTCCTAGGCTGCTGTCTGTCCCACCTCACTCACATTAATACAGTGTGACCCTTGGCTCAGTGCCTGTGGCTCAAGTGTTAAGGTACCAGTCACATACACCTAAGGTGGCGGGATCAAATCCAGCCCAGGCCCGCCAAAACAACAATGATGGCTGCAACCAAAAAATAGCCAGGCGTTGTGGTGGGCGCCTGTGGTCCCAGCTACTTGGGAGGCGGAGGTAGGAGACTCACTTGAGCCCTGGAGTTGGAGGTTGCTGTGAGCTGTGGTGCCACGGCACTCTACCCAGGGGGATAGCTTGAGGCTCTGTCTCAAAAAAAAAAAAATACAGTGTAACCCTGTTTCCATGCAACCTTTCAAGCATCAAGATAGAATTGGTAAAAGTTCAAATAGACTCTAGCATCTGTGAAGTCAAAACTACTCCTTTATAATGCTGTTAATGAAGAAATTCATAAAATTCCCATCTTTGTTTCTCTTTTTTTTGAGACGGAGTCTCACTGTTACTCTTGGTAGAGTGCTATGGTGTCAAAGCTCACAGCAACTTCAAACTCTTGGGCTTAAGTGATCCTCTTGCCTCTCAAGTAGCTGGGACTACAGGCACCTGCCATAACGCCCAGCTATTTGTAGAGACAGTGCCCGGCTGTTTTTAGAGACAGTGACTTGTTCTTTGCTCAGGCTGACAATCCACCTGCCTTGGCCTCCCAGAATGCTAGGATCACAAGCATGAGCCACCACACCTCCCATCTTTGTCTTTCAATAATTTTACCTAAAACAAGTTAATGTTTACTTTTATCCTTATATCTTACACAGAAAAATTTGTCCATGTTAATAAAACTTTCTGACACAGAAAAATTTGTCTATGTTAATAAAACTTTCTGGTGATTGAATCAGCCATTATATAATTTCCTAGGGATACAGTAAGACTGTATTGAATTGATTACTTTTAAACTTATCAAACTAGTGGAGGAAACTCTTATCAAGAGAACTAGAGGCTGGGTGGCACCTGTGGCTCAGTGGGTAGGGTGCCAGCCCCATATCTGAGGATGGCGGGTTCGAACCTGGCCCTGGCCAAACTGCAACAAAAAGTAGCCAGGCAATGTGGTGGGCACCTGTAGTCCCAGCTATTCAGGAGGCTGAGGCAATGGAATCACCTAAGCCCAGGAGTTGGAGGTTGCTGTGAGCTTGATGCTGTAGCACTCTACTGAGGGCAATAAAAAGAACTCTGTCTTTAAAAAAAAAAAAAAGATTAGAATCTACCATTGAGCTTGTGTCTCTAAGCCAACTGCTGCCACAGTGGCTTGCTATGAAGGGGGATGTTTCTAAAAAAAAGTCTGCTGATTAAGGCCAGATGTGGTAGCTCTCACCTGTAATCCCAGCACTCTGGGAGGCGGAGGTAGGTGGATCGCTTGAGCTCAAGAGTTCGAGACCAGCCTGAGCTAGAGTGAGACCCCATCTTTAAAAATAGTTGGATGTTATGGTGAGCACCTGTAGTCCCAGCTACTCGGGAGGCTGAAGCAAGAGAATTGCTTGACCCTAAGAGTTTGAGATCACTGTGAGCTATGATGCCATGGCACTCTCCTGAGGGTGACAAAGTCAGACTGTCTCAAACAAATCTGAGTACAAATAGTTTGGACATCCTCAATTTACTCTAATTCTAGTGAGTAACTGTACCTGAGAAGCTCATAGCCTTTCTTTGGCTATTTCATCATTACTCACGTTGGCCCAGAGCATGTGTGGAAGTAGGTATTCATCACAATGCAGAGCTGACAGAATCCTCCCAGCCAGTAACCAGAGATAAGGGCTTGAACCCAAGCACACTGTTTCCTCTGGCCTAATTCAAGGTCTCTCTATGATTATTGGATACATCTAAATCCTATTTAATAAGAATTTGATAAATTTGAGTGGCTCCAGATAAGTTCCTCACAGATGGGGGAACAAACACAGAGAACACTAGGGTAAGATGTACTGAAACTAGTTAAGTACTCTAGTCTCCTGATCTTTTCGCCCTCAGTGTCATGTGGAACTCCTTGCAGGTCTTCTCCCATCCCCCCAATTCATTCAGAATGTCAGCCCATATGTGGAAGACCCCTTTTCCCTCCAGATCAGGCCTCAGATATCAGTGATTTTTTTAAAAACCAGTTTCTTAACAAATACCTCTTTCTTTCTCTCTCCCTTCCCACTGTTCTCTTTCTTCCTCCCCACCCCCAACCCTTCTCTCTCTTCCTCTCTTCCTAGAGCATTGATATTCACTTAAAAAAAGATGCCCGGAAAGGAGTTGTCAATAACCAGCAGACAGACTGGTCATTCAAACTGGATGGAGTTCTCCATGATGCTTCCCAGGACCTGGTTTATGAGACAGTTGCGAAGGATGTGGTTTCTCAGGCTCTCGATGGCTATAATGGTAATTTAGTTAATTAACTGTTGTCTTATATAAGAAGCTGAGGAGCTCATCCTGGAGGAAGAGGCACAAGTATTTTATGCTGAATAAAATAAAATATAACCTCACTTACTAACATTTGTATGCTTATTTGTCTTTGTCCATGTTCTTATGGTACAGAATTTACTATTTGGTTGTTGACATTTTGGGCATGACCTGATCCAATGTCCTGGGATTCTACCTTCTTAGGAAAATAAAAAGACTCTGGCTCTCTATAGGTCATGAGCATTCAACTGTTGTTCTGTTTCAAATCTCTCAAATCCTAAATCCTAGTTTTCAAGTTATATCTTTATGATGAACTTGACAAAGTTCAAATATTTTTTCTCTTGGCTAACAGCTAAGAGCTTTTCCCATTTGTTCTATGCGCATAATCAATGTACTTTTCATATTCTATTATGGGATTATTTACATTATCACTAAAAACTTGAGTTCGATTTTCTTAAAAACAACTTTATTGGGAAATTTTTATAAACTTGTTAAGTCTAAGATTATTAAAAATCTTAAAAAGGTTTAAAATCCTTAAAAAAAAAAATACACACACACACATACACACATAGTTTGTAGGCTTTGTCAGCTGGTGGCTGCTGGCTAGAATGTTCCCTGTTTTGCAAGTTAGGTTTTGTATTTAACATCCATTGAATATCTGGGCGTTTGTGGCAGACATCTGTAGTCCCAGCTGCTTGGGAAGCTAAGGCAAGAGAATCATTTGAACCCAAGAGTTTGAGGTTGATGTAAGCTATGATGCCATGGTACTCTACCAGGGGCAACAAAGTGAGGCTCTGTCTCAAAATAAAAATAAAAATCCAATGAGTATGGGTGCCCAGACATCCTAACTTATCCTGCATAGGTATGGTCTGCACTGACCCAAGGATGTGTTTATGATACCCTATGCAGTGGTTCTCAACCTGTGGGTCAAGACCCCTTTGTAATAATGAAAATACATTGGGGCATTAGAAAGGTTGAGAACCACTGTCTCACTTGGAGACAGGAACACCCAGGGAGTCTTGAGCACTTGGTGCATTGAAACCACAGATGGACTCTGAGTCTCAACTGAAGTGACTCCTTCTGCTCATTTCTATTGGGTTAATAAACACCATTTCTGACTCCAGTTCTGATGCCAAATCAGGGTCCCTGGTGTAAAACCTGTAAATTCCAAGAACTAGAGCATCTGTGTGACAAAGACAAATGCTAATTCCTTAGTCCAGAATTGCCCAGGTAGCTCTACAGGTCAATGCCCAGAAGCAGCCTTTGGGATAGGCTCTGGCTCTGGCTCTGGCTCAGTCTCCCTAAGCCAAGAGTAAGAGCCATTGGGAGCTGAGTCCAGAATGACTGTGTAGTTTGTCCCAGAACCTGGTATGATGGTAGAAGTAAAGGATGTAAGAGGGACAAATTCATGTGTTTCCAAAGCAGAAGCCATGTGATCAGATGAGGGCCTGATCATATGGTCTATTTTCTGGTAGTGACATGTGCCCAACTAGAGCTCTATTCTGTGGGAACTTGCAAACTACAGAGAATTTTTACCATTGACAGGAAATGCCCTATTCCATTCCATGTTTTCCTAGAGATTCCTTCTTTCTTCTATAGGGAAGTAGATGCTTCCTGCCAGCCCCAAGATCCTGGCAGCTTTTTGAGAAAAGGCTAGAGTCTAATGCTCTTCTTTCTTCATCTTTTTAGGGAAAATGCCAATTCCTCTGTACCCCCAAGATTCCCTGTTCTTATCTCTGGGTGAAGGGAACAGTAGAGCACTGTATGGAGCACAAATTCAGGGCAGATGTCCTTTATTTTGAGCATTTATGTCCTTGTCGCCCTGCCTGCCTACTCTCTTCCATGGTGGAATTCCTGATGTCCTTGGCCATCTTCACTCCAAGGGTCCTGGCTGGTACTGGGCATGCTGAGGGATGGGAGCACTGACCTTGAAGCTACTTTTCTGGATGTCACCGAGACATGTTTTGAAATGTTTGCAGGCACCATCATGTGTTATGGGCAGACGGGAGCTGGCAAGACATACACCATGACGGGGGCAACTGAGAATTACAAGCACCGGGGGATCCTCCCTCGTGCCCTGCAGCAGGTAGAGAGTGGGCCCCATGGGTGGGATGCCACATAGTTCCCCTCTCTGCCATAGCTGCTGCTGACCCCAAACCAGCTTCTGGAGGCAGTGGGGCTACACCCTCAAAGGAGTTGCAGCTGGTACTGGTACTACTGGCACCTGAAATGGGACACACATGGCTGAAGGGGGAGTAGGATCAGAGGTCTCAGAAAACCAGGTGTTCAGGTTTTATACTCTGACCCATACCTGCATAGAGCCTGCTTCCTCATTTATGAAAAAAGGAGTCAGATATACTTGGTCTCTTGCTCCAATGGTCTGTGACCCTGTAATTAAGGATTTGGAGATCCTAATTGTGTTCCTTCCTGGTTTGTTTGTTTTTGACCCAGAGCCTCAAGCTGTCACCTTGGGTAGAGTACTGTGGCATCACAGCTCACAGCAGCCTCCAACTCCTGGGCTCAAGGCATTCTCCTGCCTCCGCCTCCCAAGTAGCTGGGACTACAGGCGCC